GAATGCATTATTTATTCTTTTGGTCTGTGAAAGAAGGTAAGGCATTAACAGGCATGTGGTGTCCAATGTCTCAGACATTGCTTTAGGACCATAAAATATTGAGCATGTTTGTGGGATGGGAAGGGCCAGGGGGAAGAGACTTCCTATGAGAAGGGTGTAGGAGATAACTGAGTAAACCCTGCTTCTTTCTTTAAAGTTAATGACTTGCTTCTTTCTTCGAGAGGAAAAGGTGATTCCTTCCTTATGTACAATGGAAATGTTCTCTGTGTTCTTTCTGTGAATGGAATAAAGGGTTTGCTGATGAAATGTGATCTCTGTCTGTTGCAGAAATCTGCATGCCAACCAGTGACCTTGGTCACTGCCCTGTTCAGTGGAGAGGCCCATTTCAGCACAGCTACCCACCCGCGTGCAGTTACTTCTCGCCATCTGAGATGCCCTTCCAGAACTCTGTGTGTGGCTGGCACATAGAGCAAGGGACTTAGGAAGGGATCTGCTGGGACATGACAGCAATGGGTGAAAATGGAGGGAGCAGGGGATGGGGGGCATTGGGAAGTGTGCCCTACAGCACTTGAACCTGCAGGTAGGGAGTCCAGAGCCAGCTTGCCAGTTCTGCAGCCCAATCCAAGGCTCACACAAGGTTCAACAAGGCCAAGTGTCGAGTCCTGCACTTGGGTGACAACAACCCCAGGCTTGAGGACAAGCGGCTGGAAAGCTGCCCAGTGGAAAAGGTCCTTGGGGTCTTGGTTCCCTGCCCATGGCAGGGGGGTTGGAACTAGATGATCTTTAAGGTCACTTCCAAACCATTCTATGATTCTATGGTTGATAATTGAATATGAGCCAGCAGTGTGCTTAGGTCGCCAAGAAGGCCAATGGCATCCTGGCCTGCATCAGGAACAGTGTGACCAGCAGGACGAGGGCAGTGGTTGTCCCCCTGGTATTAGCAGTTGTATTAGCGGTGCTAGATTAACGGTTGGACTTGATGATCCTAAAGGTCTTTTCTAACCTAAAAGATTCTGTCATTCATAGGTACACATGCCAGATGCATAGTGCCTCCACAGCACCCTGTTCTGTCTCTGATTTGTGTTCAGGGAACCTGTGGAATAAATATCAGCTGAAGGCGGCTCCTGGGTTACCATTTAAAACAAAATCATAGTTCTCCCTCACTCATGTCTTTCCCTCCCCACCGCCCATTCCAGCTGTGCCCCTCTGGATCCAGCTCCAGCTCTGCAGGTGTACCTTCATCTTGGTGTTGAAAGAGCGGGGCAACTCCATGTCCCACGCTGCCTTCAGCCTTCGGCTGAGACAGCTTCCCTCTCACCACTCCTTCCTTGCTGGGAAGCCTGTACACAGCAATTCTCCAGCGCTAAGGGCTTAGGTGGGCTCAAGGCCTGTTCCTCTCAGATGTTAACTCCTTTTTCCAGGTTGTCATTAGAGATGTAGAGGGTCACAAGCTCAGTCGTGGATGTTCACTGAGCAAGAAGGGCACTCTTCAGTGCAGGAGAGAGCATCTGAGGCAAATGAAGAATAACTTGTTAAAGGGAGGAGCTCAGGAGTTTCAGTTCATGGGGCAGATTGTCCAAGTAGGAGATAGAGCAAGAAGGGCACTCTTCAGTGCAGGAAAAGAGCATCTGAGGCAAATGAAGAATTACTTGTTAAAGGGAGGAGCACAGGAGTTTCAGTTCATGAGGCAGGTTGTCCAAGCAGGAGATAGAGAAGAAAAGAAAGCCACATCCACAACCCTATTCCCACACTGTTCTTGCTGTCTCCTTAGTGTCCTCATGCCTCTTCTGGAAAATTCTGTCAACTCTGATTTGCAGAGGGGCCTTCAGCACTGCCAAATCCTAAGGTCTCACCTCTAGGTAAACATTCCTTTCCATTTCTGGGCTCAAACATGCTGGAAAGCAGTTAAGACCTGAACCACTAGTTTGTTTCTCATTGCCTTCCTTCAACTTTCTCTCACAGTCCTTCTTACTGTGCAGGACAACCTCCTAGTTGGGATCCACTCACCCTTCAGAAAAAGCCTGCGTGTCCTCCTACTAGACTG